ATGCCCAGTGCTCTATATACTGGCACCACCTAGCTACACCATTTATATTGAATGTGCTAATTACAAAGCATATCCATTCATTCTTCAATTTCACAGTTTTATCAATCAACAAGCATTTATTAAGCCCCAAGTCCTCTACTAGTTACTGAGGACACAGTTAAAAATGAAACAATGTCCACCTGTAAGGAGCTTACTTCAATTAGGGAAAATATGAACTCATAAGTAAAATATAAAACATAAACCAAAAGTAAACACCAAGTAATTTCTTGTAAAAGGTACTGTTGTTGTTTGTCCTTCCTTCTCAAAAAGGACCATGACATCAGGAAGGTGATGTCATGACTTGCAAGTGAACTAGATTTAAGTGAGGGAGGGCTGTGCAAAGTCACCAGCATCACCACTTTCTCTTCCACAGCCATTTAGGTCCAGTGGCCAGATACATATTAGGACGACTAGAGATGGCCCTCTGAAGGAGGTACTAGCAATTAGGGGAACAAAGAGAGAGAGTTTAGAAAAGGTCTCATACAGGAAGTAGTCCTTGAACAACTCTGAAGGAAGCTATTGAATTAAACTTTGAAGGAAGCCAGGGATTCTCTGTGGTAGAGGTGACAATGGGAGTTCATTTCAGATTGAGAAAACAGCTGTTTAAAGACAGTGAGAAGGCAGAGGTAGTGTTCTGTATAAGCAAGATCAGTCTGGCTGGACCTAAGGCTGGAAAAGTAGATTGGAGCCAGGTTGTGAAGGGCTTTTAACTGCCATTTGATTTTTGTCTTAGAACCAATAGGGAGCCAGTAAAGTTTTCTCAGTAGGGAAGTGAGATGGTCAAACCTGTGCTTTGGGAAAGTCACTTCAGCAGTTACGTGGAAGATGGATTGTAGAGGGTAGAGATTTAAAACAAGAAGACTAAAAAGGAAGCTATCATGAGAGGTGATGAATACCTGAATTAAAGTGATGACAATTTGAGTGTAGAGAAAGGGCTGGATGTGAGAAATGTTGTGAAGGTAGAATCTGCAAGACTTGGAATTTGGCAAAATATGTGGAGTAAGGGAGAGTGAGGAGATAAAGATGCCTCTTAAGTGGTAAACCTGGGTGACTGTAAGAGTGGTACCATTTATCTAAATAGAAGGTCAGAAGAAAAGCAGACGTAGAAGATAATTCTCATCATCCATCTCCACTCCCTAATAATGAGTGTCCTCCAAGGCTCTGCCATGGGTCACTTACTTTTCCAGGATTATTATGCTCCTCTTTATTCACTGAACATGCCAGCCAAACTGGCCTACTTCACATTCCCTAAACACAACATCCTGCCTCCTAGCTCTGCTTTTGTACAGACTCTCTCTTATGTCCAGAATATTCTGCCTCTGCTCATTTGCCTCTTGGCTCACTTCATAACTCACTTCTAGTGCCATTTCCTATAGCATACTTTCCTAGTTACCTCTTTTATAATTAACTTGATGTATATTTATATTTTACTTACATCTACACATTGCTTCCCACTCCGTCTAATGTAAACTCCTAGAGGGCAGGAAATACTTTAATTTTTTATATATCCCCAATATTTGGTACATAAGCAGAGGCTTAATAAATAAATATGATGAATATTGTGGTATTACCTGGCAACTAAAGGATAGGCAATTCAGTTCTGTATATATATGTTGATTTTTTTTTCTTTTTTTGGTGAGGCAATCAGGGTCACACACAAGTGTCTGAGGCCACATTTGAACTCAGGTCCTCCAACTCCAAGGCCAGAACTCTATCCACTGTGCCACCTAGCTGCCCCTGTATATGTTGAATTTTGAGATGTCTAATGGAGATGTCTAGCAGGTAGTTGGCATGGTGGAATCAGAGATCAGCAGAAATATTAGGATTGGATTTGGTAGTCATCTGTATACTGCTAATGAAACCTATGGGAGCAGAATAGAACATTAAGAGAAATCAAGGGCAAAGAAAAGGGTACAGAATACAGCCTCAAAGGACATTCATAATCAAGAGGGTGGGAGATGAGTAATAATCCATCCAAAGGACACAAACACAAAAATAACCAGAAAATAGCCATGACCATGGAAGCCAAAGGAGGAGAAAGTTTCTAGGAGAAGTGCTCATCAACAGTGCCAAAAAACGAAAAAGGGGGATGAGAACTGAAAAATGATTACTGGATATCGAGATTGTTGATATTTACGTACCTGGATCTAGCAATCCTATTACAAGTCAAAGGCAAGTCAAACAGAAAGATCCTGTATATACTAAAATATCCACAGCAGTACTTTTGTGATAATAAAACCTGAAAACAAAGTGATACCCCTCAAGTTGGGAATGGTTAAACAAATATTGGTATGTGAATATAATATTATTGTACCTCAAGAAACACTAAATGTGAGTGATTCAGAGAATCATAGAAGACTTACATGAACTAAGAGTCAAAGAAATCAGAACTAAAAACAATAAATACAACACAGTAATGTAAATTAAAACACCACAGAAAGACACTGGACTCAGATTAAATGCAATGACTAATATTGATCCCAGCATACAAGAACTTTATCTCCTCTCCATAAATGGCTGCATATGCCAAATGTGATAAACACAGCTGCTTTAACTGTACTGTTAAGTTTTGCTTAAATGTTTTTCTTTATTACAAGAGTAAATTCTGGAAGGAGAGGAAGGATATCAGAAAATGATTGTGACATAAAAAAACATAATGGCATAGATAAAACTTTAAAAAGAGTTGTTGGTAACCCTAAGAAAGTTTGACAGTGAAAAGAAACAAGAGATAAAAGTTTAAAGGAATAAGAGAGTCAAGAGAAGGCTTTTTCTTTCTCTTTTTAAGCATAAATCTATTTAGACATGTTTGTAGGTGCCAGTGATTGGAGGTGGAAGATGGATATGATAGGGTAAGCTCCTGGAAGGGATAGGATCAAAACTGAAGTATAAGGATTGAACCTGGCAATGAGAAGAATTACCTCCTCCCCTGAGACAGAGTAGAAGAGGAAAGGATGTCAATGATATCACTGGGACTTGAGCTGTTTAAGATATAAGGGAGCTCACATCAGCTGCCTTCTTGGTTTGACTCTAGGAACATCATAAGCTCATTGCCTGCAATCTCATCACTGTGGAGACTGACTCAGGTTTTGATATTCAACACCTCTTCAACATCTCTGGTTGGAGGGACGAAAGGGGGTGCAATAAACTCCTCCTAAAGCCTCCCTTTAAGGAGGCTCAGAACTTTCTAACTAATTTCATTTTCCATCTGCTTTGCTAGGTTTCGTTCTAGGAACATCATCCCTCCCACCCATCTTATTGTGCCCCTCCCCACTTGTCAGCTTCCTTTTGTGTACTATCTTTCCTCATTGGATTATAAGCTCCTAGAGATCCTAGACTGACTCTTTTTCTTATTTGTATCCCTAGAATTTAGCTTGGTGCCTAGCACACAGCATGGGAGTAAAGGAAAAGAAGGTAGCTGACCAGGATTGAGGACTGGCAATGCTAGAATGGCAGCAGGACAACACAAAGGATTCAAGTGTGAAGGACAATGTACAACTGAACCAGGCAAGCATCTAGTGTGAAGGCTGTGATTCATTTCAACTAGACTTAATATATTAAAAATTGTACAGATATAGTTAAATTTTACATGTATAAAGAATAAGTTACTCTCTTATATTTTATTCCAAATGTAGTGATTTTGGGGGAGGGAAGGAAGAAACATTTCTTTACTCACCATTACAAGTACCTTCGATTAGAGACATCTGGAATCAGTGAGAAGTAACTTCTAATCTCTGCTACAAACCTCCTAAATGATCTTACGCTAGTTACTCTTCCTAGGCCTCAACAGCTCTCTCCTACAAATAAGTTTAGGAATAAATCCACTATCTCAAAAATTTACAATATCTATATGTTAAGCTGTACAAAAATTCACTGCATAGAATTAGACAAAAGCAACCCAGTATTTCACCCCCAAAAGAACAACAGGTGAATTAATGAACATAAGAATGTTTTAGATTGTACCCAAGGAATGACTTAAGAGTTAAAAGTACTAGAAAGTAAATGGTGTATATGTATGTAGTACAGAAAATAAACTCATTTATCTACACATTAATTATCCACAACAAAATCTAATGCAAAGTGGGCTCATTTCACTAATTCTCTACTGATAAAATTTCAGTGGTTATAAACTAATTTAAATGCAGTATTTAGTTTTATAACTTTATGACATTTGGAAGCCCCTAAATAGAAAGCATAACTACCATTCAAGGAATTTTTTTGTGAGTGAAAGAGAGATTATCAGATAGGTATGAATAAGACATAGCAGTTGGGTTTACTTAGCTTTACACAAGAAAAGTTGTGTACATCTAATCACATTTCCCCAATATTTACAAAATAATAATTCAAAATCAAGGCAAGGATTAAATGGGTGTGAAATGTCACATATGCTCTCAGATGTTGGTTAGTTTTCCTTAACTTTTATAACATTTGTCACAGTAAGGATTGGAAGGGGAAGGTAGATATCAAGAAATAATTTTGATATAAAAACAAAAGACATGACTAAGAATTTCAAAAGATTAATGTGATAAAGTTTAGTGTTAAAATGCACATTAAAATTTAAAGTATTCATTAAGGGGAAAATAAGTTAGCATCTCTTCCCATTCCAGGACAGACTGTATTCTTTGCTTCTTGACCTCCAGCTAATCACTGATTCCACATGGTTAAATCACTCTCCTGCTCCAATTATTAGGTACAACATCACAAAAGACAAAAAAATTTGAGCCTGTATAGGATATGCCTAACCAGTGTGAGAAGGCTAGACAGTAGAAAAATTACACAAAAAAAGAAAAGGCAAAAAGGATCACTAAACTTTTAGCATAAAAATATTAAATAAACTGCAAATGACTTCCATGATACTAGTAGAATTAATATGGTCATCTGTTCAATATTTTAAAACATAAATCAATCTCTTTATTACAATATATCATTTATCTTGAATTTATATATTCAGTATTGTTACTTACACCAATATGGGCTTTCCTGATACTCTGGGATGTCTTAGAACATCAGTCACTGTCTCTTTAACTTCTTTCATTCTCTTTTCATCACTGGAATCCACCACAAATATTATTCCATATGCTTCAGCATAGTAATTTTTCCATATTTCTCGAATTTTCTGTCCACCTCCTAAGTCAAAAATTGTAACTTCAAACTTTCCTTCTCTAAGATCAATTCTAGAAAAGCCAACTGTTGGAACTACATCTTCAGGGTCCTCTGTTTTAAAGGAAAGAAAAACAAAACAACACATTCTTTAGGCTTGCATTTGCTAATAAATATTTTAACTTTATGTTAAATTATTAAACAACTACTAAAATTTTACATCATTCTACTAAAGCTACACTAATTTGAAATATTAATTTAAAGAAATATTCATTGACTGACATATTTAAAAAAGACTTTGTTAGGCAGGCACTGTGGACTATGGAAAACATAAAGAAATATATGATACAAAGACCCTACCTTTAAAGAGCATTGAGATTAGACACACAAAAAGTTAAGACAATATAAGTGACTTACAAACAATTCAACCATATAAATGCTATACTTCCTCCTTTACTTCTTAATAAGAATATCTCACACTTCTTCAGTGTGTGTGTGTGTGTGTGTGTGTGTAAAGAATTGCAAACAGACAGTCTAGTAGGTGGCACAGTAAGCAAGAGTGCCAGGTCTAGTCAGGAAGACCTGAGTTCAAATTCTATCTCAGACACTTACTAGCTAGGTAACCCTGGGCAAGTCACTTAACCCTGTTGGCCTAGTTTCCTCACCTGCAAAATGAGCTGGAGAAAGAAATGGCAAACCATTTCAGCATCTTTACTAAGAAAACCCCACATAGGGTCACAAAAAATTAGACACAGCTGAAATGACTAAACAACTAAGGACTGCAAAGTGCTTCTATGTTTATTAGCTTACATGACCCTTACAACATTCTCTCTGAGATAGATCGTATCATCCTCACAGATGATAAAATTGAGGCTCAGAGAGGTTACATGACTTTGTCACAAATGACAGCAAACATCTGAGGTGGAATTTAAATCCAAGTATTCCTGAACAGAGTCTAATACTGTTTATCCACTATACCTCTTCCTGACCATAAGAAAAATCTCCATGGGAAAAAAAATAGAAGTTTTAGAGAATAGATGGATTCAGCAATAAAACCAGGTATCAAAATGTGAAAAGCAGGATCAGTTTTTGAAAGCTGATTCCCATGCCTGGAATGGTCTCCTTCTTCATCTTTGCCTCCTGGCTTCTATGGCTTCTTTCAAGTCATAGCTAAAGACCTGCCTTCTGAGTGGCTTTTCCAAATCCTTCTTAATGATGTTTGCCTTGCCTCTGTTGACTGTTTCTTGTTTGTACATAGTTTTCATGCTATCTTCCTCATTAAACTGGAAAAAGTGACTGTCTTTTGCCTTTCTTTGTATCTCCAGCACTTAGCACAGTACCTGGCAACATAACAGGTGTTTAATAAATGCCTACTGGTTGACTCACTGAAGGGAGTCAACCCAGGTGGTACTGCTTTTTTTTTTTAAGTACTAAATTCCCTGAACAAATATCTTCATTGAAAATACCTGAATTTTTCTAAGTCCTTCTGATACAGAAATTTTTACCAATTATGTAATTTATTTGGCATTAATAATGATAAACTTTTAAAAATACCACTAGTTCTGGTAGAACTGAAAGGCTTCTTGAGCTTAAATTTATATACTGCTTCAAAGTTTACAAAGTGTTTTCCTAACTGAAGCTGAGAGGTTAAGAAAATTATCTCTTGTCAACCTGGCCTCCAAATCAAATACTTTTTTTACTACTAATTCTACCTCACCATTACATACAAATTTATTGAATTAGATTGCTTTCTTTCCAGTCCTTAACTACATAAGGGAATGGGAAGTGTGATTAGTAAAGGTGGTGACCTAGAGGTCAGATGCCTGGCTGGGAGACTTGGGGCAGCAGAAGAACATGAAATACCTAAGCAAGGTACAAAGTAGTTGGACACCAAAGACAAACTTTAAAAAAAAATGTTTCCTGGGGTCAGGAAAGGGGAGGAAAAAGTTTTATTCACAGAATCATAGAATTTTAGAGCTAGAAGTGTTCTTAGAGATGATTTAGTCTAATCCACTCATTTTACAAATGAGAATGAAGGCCCAGTGTAGGAAAGTGACTTATCCAAGGTTATATGAGTCAGTGGTAAAACCACGATTAAAAATCAGATTTCCTGAATCCAAGTTCAGTGTTCTTTCTTTCATGTCAGTGTTTTTCAAAACAAGTTATACTGTAGACAAGTAAAATATTAAAATTTTTATAATGGCAATTCCACAAATGTTGTTAAGCACTTCTGTGCAAAACACTATGCTAGACCACTGATCACTCTATCTTCCACAGTTCTATCAGCAGGGTTCGTTCATTTTGGGGGAAGGATATAACCTTGGGTAAGAACATCATCATATAGGGAAAGGGAAGAAGGGAAGGAGAGTCAGATTACCATCCTCAAAATTTGAAGAAGCAGAATAGGTTAGCGGTTAGTTAATAAATTATCTTATACAGCTTCCTACTCTTTTTTCCCCACCTATTCTTAGACTGCATGGCCCTATGCTCTGAGAATGAAGATGTGACTTTAAGAATTCATACTCTAATTCAGTCATATTATAGGTTAAATAGGCTCTCTGTATTAACTTGGGAATCTAACCACCATTGACAACACTGTTTTCATGACAAAAAAAAAAGTGTTTCAATTTTCATACAACTAACTTTCAAAACACAATGATTCTAGTAGAGTCACTTCAATACCATTCAAGGAAATTTCATTAAGTATATAACTTGTGCAATATAATATGCTAGGTGCTAAGAATGCTAAAATGAAAAATGACATTGTTCCTAAAAGAGCTTACAAATCTAGTCAAGAAGGTAAGACATACATAAATAACCATAAGGCAAGATATACAGCAATCAGTAAGGTCAAATAGATTAGAAGAGATTAGAAGTGGGACAGTGACTGAGCTCAGGAAAGTCTTCATGGAAGAAACAGTTTGCTTAGGTGTAGGGGAAGTGGAATAACTGTAAAAATTCATAGAGGTAAAAGAGAGCAAAACAAGATATAGTGCAGTAGAAATTTAGCACTGGATTGGGAACCATAAAATCTGGATTTGAACTCTGTCACTTACAGTTACTTGATTTTATATATGTTACTAAATATTCTCAAAAGCTTAGTTTTCTCATCTGTAAAATGAGGTTTGGTTTAATGATCTCTAAGGTCCTTTTTGGGGGGCACTAATTTTCTGTGATTTTGAAACCAGTGATGATATAACATGAAGCACAATGGATAAAGCTAGAAAGAAAAGTTGGAGAGCAAACAGCAAATTGTCTTGAATGTCAAGATAAATAAGAAGTATGTATTTTACCCTGGGGAACCAGTGAAAGGCTCACTGTGATGTGATTAGATCTGCATTTAGACACTTTCTTTGAGAATGATTCAAAGGACAGATTGAAGAAGGGAGTAACTGGAGGGGAAGCCACAATGGAGTCTCTTCTAATATGCCAGACTAGGGGTAAAGTTCTATATTAAGATAGTGGCAATGGAGTGGATGGGAAGAAATAAATGCAAGAAATATTGTGGAGGTGCTGTCGATAGGATTTAGCAACTAATTAAATGAAAGAAGAAGATGAGGAAAAGAAGACTCAAAGTCGACCCCTGTGCTTAGAGGCTGGGTAACTTGGAAGATAGTGACGTTCTCAAAAGAAACTAAAGTTAGGGAGAACATAAGATTTAGGAAGAATACAAGGAGACCAGTTTGGGACATTTGGAAACTGAGATGCTGGCAATATGTCCAGAAAGAAGTATTAAGTATCAAATGAGTGAATTCAAAGGAGAAAAAGATAACAGAGTTAGAGTCAGGGAAGGCTTTATACTTAGCTTTCTTCAAGCTGTAAATATGTGTCTTCTGAATATAGCCACTCTTCCTTCCTGTCTAATAAGAGGGTGTTTAATAAACTTCCAACAAAGAGGAAGGAGCAAGGAAAAGGAGTGCTTTTAAGGAAATAGTGTTGGTTTTAAGTCAGAGAGATTAGATTCAAAACCTGCTTGCGATATAACCTTGTTTTCTCATCTAGAGAATGAAGACAAGATGATCTCTGAGGCTCCCATTTGAACTCTAAAGCTCCAACCTTATCATCTATTATAATATGAAGGAGTGGTATTGGGGAAGATTTTGGGGGCATAAATTCAGTGAATGAATTATAAAGTATGTAGATAGGAAATACAAATATATTTCCATTCTGTCTTAAAATCAAGTGTATATACTGATCAGTCAGTTGTGTCTCTCTGTTTTCAACTATATCTGGATTCTCCTAAATTTCTCTGTCAACTGCTTATACCCCTGAATGGAATCAATCTCTTACTCTCTGGGCCTACCCAAGTGTAACACCTGAAAACATTCCCAAATAAGTGGAAGCCCTCACGTAACCAAGCAACTAGCAGGCAGTAAGTACCTACTGTGTACTAAAAAGTCTATAGGAGCCAGGAGAATAATGGAAAAACCAAGTTACTAATTGAGCTATTGTGTCATTTGCTGGCCTGAAGAGTGTACAAAAAAAAAGGCTTTGTAAGAAATAGCTAATCAGAATTAAGGATAATTTAGCAATTACATAAATATTCATAGCTTACCTCCTTGCATTCCTTTCACTGTTGCACTTTTACCAGCATTATCAAGGCCCACCATCAAAAGTGTCACCTTTCTTAAAATAATAACATTTTAAAAATCACTTTAGGATATAACGAATTTACATTTAAAAAATTTTTATTTCTATAGCACAATTAAGCAAAATCACTTAAGACAGTCACTTTCTGATAATCTATGAAAACAGAAGGCAGCAATACAATAAAAAATTCAAAATGGACGATAAAAAGCAGCAAAAAAACTATACAATAATCACATACAATTGTATTAGATAAAGTCATGAATCTGTGTGACTGAAAGGATAGTGGTGCCCTAAATAGAAATAAGTTGAAAGAGGGTTAAGTGAGAAGACAATTTTGTCTATTTTATACATGTTGAGTTTAAGATGTCTATGGGACCTCCACAGTCAAGTGTCCAATAAGAGGTTGATATAGGACTAAAGCTCAGTAGATTCTTGATAACTATCTTTGAAAATAGCCTGTGTAGGGGGCAGCTAGGTGGCAGCTAGGTGGTGCAGTGGATAGAGCACCGGCCCTGAAGTCAGGAGGACCTCAGTTCAAATTCGGCCTCAGACCAAACACTTGACACTTACTAGCTGTGTGACCCTGGGCAAGTCACTTAACCCCAATTGCCTAAAAAAACCAACCAAACAAACAAAAGAAAATAGCCTGTGTATAGATAATTGAACTCGTGTAAGCTAACGAGGTTACTAAGAGAGTATAAAGAGGGAAGAGGGTACAGGACAAAGCTATTAAGTCTTGAAGGCACTATTCAAACCCAACTCTCTAGACTCCAAGTCTAGTGTTCTTTCTACAATACTATACTGTCCTACAAGGTACTTTATATTCACGAATAATCTATCCATACATAACCAAAACACTAACGTAAGAGCAAAATTCCAACATGACCTATTCAAATACCCTGAAAATAGGGCATATTTAAAAGGAAAGGCTATTTCTCAGTCACTTCATGTCATGCTCGTGAAATCTAGGTTTCTAATGGTTAGAATTCCTTATAGCCCAACCAGACCCATTACCACTGCTGTTTGTCCTCCCAGCACCTGCCATATCTTGCTTAAGGTAAATCTCATCTCTCCTTCCTTCTCTTCACTGCCCTTCCTGTCCCTCTCCTCCTTATAATTCTGCCCAAAGGAATGTAAATTTTGATGGCTGAAACCTAACAAGATATCTAGGGGTTTACCAGGCTAGATTTTTTTTTCTTAAGGACTTTGTTTTAAACCCAAATCACTCTGGCTCTCACAGATTGGCCAACAACAGGTCCCAGGCCAAACCCTACTTGGTCATAGTTTGGGCCCTTGAGTGGCTGAGAATGAATGTAAATAGCAATTGTTTCTCTTTGGGCCAGAAATACAGAGGGTCTTCCCTGAAAGTCTTCCTCTCCTAGATTTTTTTTTTCTTCGTTTGGACTAGCCTTAATCACTGAATGGGAGTTGCCTCAGTTAAACTGAGACCTGTTAAAGACCTTAGTCTAAAAAGGCCAAGAATGACTTATTCTTAAATAATTTAAGAATAATGTAAGACTCTTAATAATTTTTATAAGAATTTTCCCTCTAACATACTAGTACAAGAAATCTTGTTCTTCTAATCTTTTTATTATCTTTGATACTTAGTTTACATATCCATTTAAATCTTACGTGATATATGGTTTAAAATATTAACAATACCATTCCTTCTAGTAATGATGTATATAGCTGCCAGACTCTGAAGAAATAAATTTGAAAATCATGTTAAGGGCAATAATGAACATTTGTTTTACTTGATCATGCATGTTTGCAACAGGGGTTTTATTTTTCTTTTGTTTTCAATCAGCAGAAAGGAGGAGGTAGAAGGCAAATTTTTATTGACCGAAAAAATAAAATTTAATTTAAAAAAGAAAATCCCTATCTCCCCTTAAAAGGATAACTCAATGTGCTACCTCCTTTCCTGATCTCCGTAATTTTTAATGCTCTCTACATCTTTAAGTTATTTTTTATTTATTAATCTGTGTTCTCCTCTGCATAATGTAATTCCTTGAATTGCAGAAACCAGTAAAATCAAGTACCCTGTTAAACTTCACTGTATCCTTCATAGCAGCTTATATATAAGAAATACACAAATAATATATGTTTCACTTGATAACACCACAACTTATCAGTGGGATACCAAATGATAGCCTAGGGCAGTGTTTCTTAACCTTTTTTGTGTCATGGACCCCTTCAAAGTTTAGAGAGGCCCACTCACTCCATCTCAGAATGTCTTTAACTATATAAAACACAATACATAGGATTACAAAGGAAACCAAGCATGTTAAAATAAAGATGTATTTTTTTTCCATACAAGTTGAACCCCATGAAATCTTTTCAATGACCCCTTTGGTGGTCCATGGACCCTAGGTTAAGAACCCCTACTCTGTTGGTGGAGCTACAAACTGATCTAACCATTTTGAAGAGCCATTTTGACCCAAAAGACTATAAAACTGTGCATACCGTTTGCTCCTGCAACACTACTTCTAGATCTGTATACCAAAGAAATCAAACAAAAGAGCAAAGGACCTATCCGTAAAAAAAGTATTTATAGTAGCTCCTTTTATGGTGGCAAAGTAATGGAAATTTGAGGAGCTGTCCATCAATTGGGAAATGGCTGAAGAAGTTGTGATATATGATTGTAATCTAATATTTTTGTGCTATAAGAAAAGATGAGTAGGATAGGGTGATTTCAGAAACATTCTGGAAAAACTTACATGAACTGATGTAAAGCAAAGTGAGCAGAATCAGAACACAGAACACAGTGACAGCAATATTGTACAATCATCAACTGTGAATGACTTAGCTATTCTCAGCAATGATGCAAGACAATCCCAAAGAATTTATAATAAAAAAAAATGCTATCCACCTCCAGAGAAAGAACTGATGGTGCCTAAATAGAGATGGTAGAGTACTACATTTCACTTTTGTTTTTTGGTTCAAGTTTTCTTCCACAAAATGATTAATACGGAAGTATGTTTTATATGATAGCACATGTATAACCTATATCAGGTTGCTTACATTAACTTCAGGGAGGGGGAAAGGCCAGAAGTAATAGAATTTGGAAGTCAAAACTTAAAAAAAAACAAAACAGTTTAAAATTTTTAAATGTAATTCAGAAAAAAAATTAAATGCTATTTTACAAAAAGAACACCTACTTTAAGGCCACAAGTAGGTTCCCCCAAAACACAAAAAAGTAGAAAGAGCTAAGAAAGTTTAAATGAGATGAGAAGAAAAAGAAAATGTAGAGAGGCCAGAAGGTTAATGAACCTGAAAAGGCCTGTTGGAGAGGAAAAGTACAAGGAGCTAAATCACAACTGCTTCTTTCTACTTAGATGAGCTTAGGCAAGTCCTATAAATTGAGCTTCAGTTTCATATGTAAAATAAGGGAGTTGAACTAGATGATCACTAAGGTTCCTCCAGCCCTATGATCTTATTCATAGCTGAGAAAGAGAAAATAGAGGAAGGTATAAGGAAGCAGAAAGATTAAAGCTGGACTTGCCCATTTCTGTGGACAGGATCATCATTCTTCCAGTCAACCTGGCTCAAAATCATCTTTGACTTTTCCTCTTCTTCCCACATCCATTCAATCATTAATTTATATTGGTTCTGATTATTTAAGGTCTTTAAGAGAAGTCTCTTTACAATCCCCAAACCATCAATTCAGCTTGTAAGTACTTCATTCCAGAAACAGGCTTTTAACTGATCCTCTTCAATACATTGTAGATTTTCATTCCAAAACACCACTTTGCACACATTATCTCCCATTCAAAAATTGCCCTCCATAACAACTTAATGCCTTTATAGATTAAAGTCAAAATTTCTTAGCCTGACAATAGAGATCGTTTACAACACCATAATACTCCCTGGTAAGTAATCCGTTTACTCTGTATCTAGAATACACCAAGTACAATCCCACTTTCAAGTGATGTTTCCTCTACTTGAAACGTACTCCATCTTCCTCATCCTACCTTCCTTCCTTCAAGGCTTTCTCCCTCACAGACAGCTCTAAGTCTACTCCAATTCTCTAGGCTTGGCTCTCTCTTCTGATATATTTGCCACTACTTGATTTATTAACACATCAACTTGGGGTTTAGATCCCAATTCATGTGCTTCTGGTTCTGTCACTGGGTTTCTTCTTAGACCATACCTAGTAGCTTACTCTGCTTCCTGATGCTAACACCTGCTGAGTAAGTTTTAATCCAGATCCCTAAAAAGTAAACTGCTTGGCGGGAGAGGCTGTAAATAAAGGAAAGGATGGGTAAGAGAGTGAGTACCTATTTGGATTACAAAAAGAGTAGGTAAGTATGGAAGAAGAGATGGACAGCCAAGTAAATCAATGACAATAATCTCCATTTCCATGCAAAAGAGGTTTCCCAAGAAATTCTCAAAGAAAATACTTTCATGAAATATGATTTTAGGTGATCTTAATTAGGCCTGTAGATGTAAAAGGTTAAATAAATAAACTGTGTATGACTATTGCCCATAAAAATAATGTAAGAAATTAATACATTATCACATATAAAATTTAAAAGTGGTATTAATGAGAATATTCCAAATCCGTTTTCATTAGGGAGATCAAAACATCAACAATTGTTTTAAAAGCTATTTACAAAGTTCTGGATGAAATTAACTAATCTTAATTTTGGTACAGGTATAAAGCAGTACTTAAAATTTACCAGAAAACAACTTTTTTTTTTCCCTTCTTGAAACAACTTGCCATCTTCCCTGGAGTAATACACACACACAGTAAAATAAATTTGATTACCTAATGTAAACTGTAATTTACATTAATTAAGGTAATCTGCTAAATTTGTGAAAGAATGGCACAATCCTAAAATGACAATTCTATCCAATGCAGAAACATATTTTCTTCTGTCTTTGGTATTATGCTATAAGTCTAAAACATGCTTACTGAGGAATAGATTGGCACACAAGTTCTGATTATGAAACTTCAGTGTTACATTTCTACAAATACTAATAAAATTTTCTTATGCTTAAAAAAGTCAAATATTTGACTCTTAAATGGAGATAGACACTTCTTTCTCTATATCATGTGATGACTTTTTTTTTAATGAGGCCCTTTCCTCACATAGTAATAAACTTAATTCATCCCAATGTGTTTAAACTTTGCCTGTTTTGGGGCGTGACTGCTTATGGTAAAGGAAATCAATGTGAGGACTCTTTACATAGTTCAAAAAAAATGCTATTACAGTTTTTGCCTTCAAGAAAATCCAGGGGAAAATATATACATCTCTAAAAAAGAAAAATCAAATGGAAATTTTTTTTTAGAAACAAACCCAGTGAAAATAACCATGGGTTATTTTGAAGGCTCAGGAAGGACTATGAAATTAAATTAGATGTTATAACAAAAAACTCTAAATCTACAGCACAGCAAAACATCAAAAGACAGAAATCAATGTAATTAAAAGTGATGGTATCACAAGTAATTGAGCAGTCTAGAAAGTAAAATCTTTACATTTCTTCAGATATTAAACATGTTATCAATCATTCTACAAAAAAAACAGGATCCCTTCATTCTGATTACAGCAGGTAAATGAAGGAGGAAAAAAACTGCAAAATAATCCTTAAATGTAATTATCACCATGCTTGGGACCTAGGGATGAGAGAAAAACACACCTCCCTTATCTTTCCCTCTCCTTTGAAGGGTAGAGGACAACGAGTGTGGGGCAGGTTTTTTTACCGTTCTTTTTAATTTTTTTTTTGCTTGAGTAGGGAAGTGGGGGAGGCATATATTACAAAATAAAACTGATGTAAAGAAAATATCAAAAACTAATGTAAACGTCAACCTAAAACATGTATTTTTCTTAAGATACATAAATTTTCAAAAATTCATTTTCATAAAGTACAGTTCAACTTGAAGAAAAATACTGTAGTTTGAAGCCATGAAGTTTTTAAAAGGCTTTACCATATTTACCATCTCCCTGGTCATGTGGAGGTGGAAAGAAAATTAACATTAGTTACATGTAACTGCAAACTACCCCGAAATCTCGTATAGTTTCCTGTTGAGGGAATATTTTCTCTATGCAACTCTCTAATTCCCATGATCTTTTAAAATTTACATGAGCTTAAAAGCGAAAACCACCAAAAAAAAAGGCCAACTACTTAAATAGCCAGGGATGCCCAGAGAATTCAAGGAAGGCAATGCAGGTCTTAAGTAGGAGGATGTAAGCAAAAACAATAAAACAGGCAAAGTAGAACCTCGGTAAAGAACAGAAATGCTCACTGCAATTGTAAGAAATTATACTGGTGTGCAGTCTAAAACACAGAAAGCTTCAAGACATCTTCATAGTGAAGATTTTATCGCAGTGTCCATTTTGACTCCCATGATAAGAACAGGGAGTCTAAAAAAAAACCAAAAAAAAAAAACAAAGCAAAAGAAGGGAGGTGGAAACGCTTATTTTAAAAGCCATTGCATGTCTTTGGTTCTTTTTCGGTTTTTTGCCCCCAGGAGGGCGAAGAATCTCCAAATTCAAAAAGGATTCCATTTGGGGAAAAAAAGTTTTCTTTATAAACTCTAATGTGATGGGCAAAAATTTAGGTAGTCACTTATTTTAAGGACTAGGCTTTCCTCCTTCACGGCTCCAGGTTCCCCCGAGAGAAAAATGGGAAAACAAAAGGTCTGGACCTATTGAAGATTTCAAGAAAACCTACGTCATGGGCCCCCGCCTCCAGGAGCGCCCAGCAGCAGACCCCACCAGCGCGGTGCTGGGGCTGGGCCCCTTGCCTTCCCCCTTCCTACCTGGTGGGCTCCCGCCACCTTTTCAGCCAGCCAAAACAGCTGGTCATCAAATTGAACAATCTACTGCGGCCGATTCCGCCCATCTGCGCCAGGGAAGCGAAGACTAGCGGCCTCGTGGCCCAGGATTTAGAGAATCCCGGCCGCCCAGGGGACAAAAGGCAGTGCCTGGGAATCAAGAGCGAGGATGGAAGGGAAAGGGGAGGGGGATGGGAGGGAAAGTGGAAGGGGGTGGGAAGGACCAACGGGGAAGGCCCCAGAGCAGACCACAAACGACTCCGGGAAACTCCGGTCACCAGTGAGAGTAGAAAAGAGGGCCTGATTCCGCAAGACGAAAAGCCTCCTATCCCGTCAGCGCCAACACGAGAGCTGACAAGCCAACGTCACAATTCCAATTATTTGCAGGCCTTCCTAAGCCCCGCCCCCACTTCTGCCCCAGTGTTTGCCTCTGAGTGGCTGGCTGGCTATCGTAGCTCCGCCCCCCCCGCCCAAACAGAGGAAAAAAACGCGGCTTAGGAGGAGGTGGGGAGGAGGGGGAGGTGCAACTAGGCAACGGGAGCGTCTCTGTCACCAGGGTTTCTGTTATGAAAACAAACCCTAGCAAGAAGACTTATTTTATTCCTACAATCCTTTTGCTGTCTTAATCTATTATTTCCCAAATTCCCTTTCCTTTCGCCTCAAATCCAAAAAATCTAAGGCCTTAGAGTGCACTCTTTCTTTCTTAAACTGTAAAAAATAAATGATCCTTCTCTCCCAGTCATAGCTCTTTTTTGTCCAGTGATCTCAGCAACTCAATCACTTGGCAATTAAGCTATGTCTGAATTTGCTAAAAGAATTGGGAATGACTTCTTTAGAAGTCAAAGGAACAATAACAACCACACCAAAAAAAAAATCTTGCAATTATTTGGATAGTTCAGGTGGCATTTAGGGTCTGTGTGAAACTAATTTTCACTTCTCTCCTTTCTAACTATTAAGTAGCAGCTCTACTACTGTCTGTATACCCTGGGAAAAGATGTGCAATATTATAGGATTAAACAGCACACAATATTAACATCAAATACAAAATTTTAATGTATTGATAAGGGGAGGAAGTAGATAGAAATATCTCTGACGTTCAAGACCATCTTTGGGGAAAATTGTTGAATAAATGAAAATTTTTATCATCTCTCTTTGCCCATACAATACTTCCTCACCGACTCTTCCTCAAACCAAGGCATCATGGGCACCCCAACTCAGGGTCCTGCTTTTCCTGGGCTGACTCAAGCTAGAACCCATTATTCTCCTGTCCTCACCTCTCCACTGTATCTAAATTGGACTACTTTATGTTTCTGAAGACCGCCTCACCTGAAGGTACTACGTCAACTCAAGATATTTACTCCATTTAGTATGGACTCACTCCCCTATTTCTGCCTTTTAAAATCTCATTGAATTCTTCAAGGTCCAGATCAAGTGTTCATGATTCATCCAGAAATATTTTCCCCTTCCTATGGACTTCTATAGCATCTTGTCACATTTATAAATGTGACATTTATCAAATACTATCTTTTATTTAATTACAACCTTCCTCATTTATTAGGCGGTAAGCTCCTTGAGGGCAGAAATAGAGTATTATGATTCATTTTTGTATCTTCATCAGTGCCTACCCTGGACTTACATGTTAAGGTATATTCTTAAATCTACGAAAATACTAGAATAAAAGAACCTCAGTCAGAATTAAAGGGGACTTCTCCATCTAATTCTATTTTGAGCAAGAATCTCCTTTACAACATGCTAGACAAAGAGTTTTTAATAATTAGAGATGGCCAGAAGCTAAATGAGCTGCCTTCAGAGGCACCTTTTGATTTCCTTGGAGGTATTTAAGAAGAGGCTGGATGACCACTTGGCAGATATGTAGTAGTAGGGATTTCTTTTTAGAATGTATTGGATTAATGGAACTAAGATGCCTTTCAACTCTCATATTTTCTCATTCTGTAAGTCAACCAGGCTCTGTTTGAAACTTCACTTCTTCCAAGGACAAACATTCCCATATACTCTAGATCTAGTCTAACCAGGGCAAGGTAACCACGGCCATTACCTCACTCATTAAGAACAAGACATTTCTATACTGTTAGTTTTCTGTGGCTGCTACACTCACTGTTGATTTTTTAATTTATTAAAATTCCCAACTCTTTTTGGAAAGTATGTAATACCTACAATTTTAACATTACTCCCAACTGCTGTGTTAAAGTCAGTGCTTTGTTCCTTCCTAATTCTATTACTTTCACTGACTAGGAAGTTGGGAAAATATCTTTCACTAAAATTCCCTGTCAAAGGATATTTGTCACAGATTTCAGACACCATATTCAGGACTAAAGGCAAATCAGTCTATTAACAAGGTTGAAAGGGGAACAGGATCTATTTGTAGAAAAATATTTATAATGGGCAGCAGCTAGGTGATGCACTGGATAGAGCATTGGCCCTGGATTCAGGAGAACCTGAGTTCAAATCTGGCCTCAGAGACATAACACTTACTAGCTGTGTGACCCTGGGCAAGTCACTTAACCCCACTGCCTAGCAAAAACAAAAACAAGAAAAATATTTATAGCTTCTCTTTTTGTGGTAGTAAACTGAAGGTGTGGCCATCATTTGGAGAATGGCTGAATAAGCAATGGTATTTGAATGAAATGGAATCTGATTGTGTTATAAGAAAATACCAAAAGGATGGTTTCAAAGAAACCTGAGGAGACTTGTATGAATATAGAGTGAAATAAGAAGAACCAGCAAAACAATTTATACTATAACATTGTAAAAATGAACAATTTGGAATGACTTCAGAACTTTGATTATCAAAATAATGAATCATGATTCTGGAAAATTGATGATGAAGAATATTGTATTTGAATAAGCATATTTATCATGAGAGTTTTTTTCTTTAATGTGTGGGTGATGGAGTTGGTAGGAAGAAGAAAAAATAAATATTTTTAAATTGAACTCTTAATTGTAAAAAAGTATAGTACACTTTTATAGTATACTATACTGAAGTAGTATAGACAGTCTTGAGCCACAGAATTTAAAAGCCAACGAGATCTTACTGAGATTAATTACAGTAGCATCACCAATTATTTTTTTAATGATCGATATGATGTTTTATCAATTCTGCAAAATAAGTAAATATATTAACTTTTTAAAATATATAAATAAGTAAATAAATATTGTTACACACAAGATTAATTAGACTAATGGGGACTTCAGGCAGGAAGTATATAGACTCCTGTTAGGCTGATAAGAATATTATTTTGAGGGAGTTGGGAATTTTGTAGTGTAAGTCTTTGCCTGTACTTTCATGTGTTTTCAACAATTCATCAAAACTGATGTTTTTATTTTGTCTACTCCTTATCTATATACTGATAAAGTTGCTGATTTCCCTATCTGTTCCTTTCCTTCTTTTTTCTTCCCTAAATGTTCTACTGTAGGAACTGAAGCAGTAATTCAATGGCTTAAAACACCACTTTTGGATGGAAGTTTTAGTCCTTTAATGTTGATTTATGCAATCTAGAACATCAATTAATCGGAAATTTCAGGTTTTTTGCCAGTAATAAAGTCAGCAGGTCAGCATACCTAAAGGGACTGTTTTGTGCAAAATACTGACCTCTTCCTAAGTTCAATTTCAAAGTCCATAAAAAAGGACTAAATAAATGGACTAATGGAACAATATTGAATATCAGGACTACTTATTTTGTTTCCATGAACACTTTTATAAGTACAAGCTCCTGAGAGTATTCACTGAAATCAACTTCAGTGAATTACTGCACTTTCCTGCCCTTCACCTCCTTATAAACTTTTCTTTCTTAGCTCTGACAGGAGCTGAGTCTGGTGATTTCGCAGCAGAAGTCTTATCAAATTTTTCCTGCTGAAATGCTTTCAGTATTCTGTTTACCTTTAAAACTTCACTTCACAGCTATCCCGTCATATAACCAAATGTAAGATATGTGTGAAAGGAAAAATTAAGTGAACGGACTATTTTGACCTGGTTGCAAGAGAAGGAAAGATACTCAGGCTCTGTTTACTAGACTCACTTTCCCCACCCCCACAAAGTCTGAAAAGCTTCCTGGAAAATGTCCTGTTTCTGGGATGGATCCCATCCCACTGTTATCACTTTCCCCAGCAGCGGCTAGGGGACTGGGAGCTGGCAACCTCTTCCCTCCCTCTTGCATACCGCTGTTTTCCTGCCTCGCTCTGAGGCTCTGGGAAAAAGTAAATAGAGGAGCAGAAGCAGAAAGCAGAAACAGTCCAAGCGGCAACAACACAGACAAGGCAGTACATACAATCGCGCAACATTTTGCTGGGCCTTCTCACAATGAGGATCCTAGGAGGGCGCTGCGTTGCCTTCATTCTGAGTCTCATTTTCATGATCCAGATCTCAGAAGCAGTAAACTGTGAGTAATCAATTGTGGCCATACACATCACTCTCCAGCCCCCAACAATTTTGCCAAATTTCGGCGCTGTTTCTTTGTAGTTTGGATTTTCTTTTCCTTGGGTCTTTTCACCTAGCCCTGTCTCCCTCACCTCTATTCTCCTACTAAAGGGGCAACTGTGCATTCATCTAAAAGGACGTGTAATAGTGGGGGTCAGGTAGGGTAAATATTTTCAAGCTTGTGACAATTTACTGCCCACTTGCCTTCTTTTGGAACAAATGTAAGGGATGCTGGAACTAATTAATAATAATGGAGTGAATTGCCACTTTTTGTCTTGTCACATTCCCCTCTCCTTCACCCATCTCCCAATTTAGAAACTGAAGCTCCTAATCAAGGCAAGACTGTATGTTCGGACTCCGGAATCCGAGAAAGCCAAACTTCATTCTTCACTCCTCTCCACTGCTTACCCAGCCCCCACCAGTATCCATCCCAAAACATCCCTCTCTTTACCCTGCCGTTCTACCTAAGCTTGTGCAATGACTGTACTTTGAACTTTTATTGACTCACATTGCCACACTAACTAAAGTAGGGTGACGGCTTGCTCTTTAGTAGGCTGCTGTTCCATGCTAACCTCGAGATCAAAAGAATGTTACCTAGATCACTTGGTAGCATACCCTTTAATACTAGGTATATTAAAACAGTTAATTCGCTTTTTTGACATGTTTTACAGTAGTTTTCCATACATTCACACCTTGAATTAAGTATCCTATTGTCTTTTATGTGATACATAATAGAAATCTTGGAAGAGTAAATCATTTCCACGTTTGGCATAATAATTTGGTTTCTAAAGTCGTGTTAATACTATCTAAAGGTACCCTGAGGTGAATTATTTTAAAGCTGATTACCTATATGATGTTTTTAATTAGGTAGGATCAAGATTAGCAATATTGTCCCTCAAATTCTCTAGGTAGGGC